CCTTTTTCAGTTCAGTTCGGTTCTTACGATTATTACCCATGAACTTTCGTGCACCGCTTTTGGTTGCCCATTTGGATAAAACAGCAGAATGAAGATTAGAATATTGACAGTAGATTCAAGCGGAAGATAGCGCATTTATATAGACTGAAGTTGCAAAAATAATGAGTAGATGTATGAGCGCCACTGTTTGCGACACCCAGCCATATCGCTGTCTCTAACCATCGGTGAACATGACCCCGGGGTCCCCAGCCAGGGAGCCTAACAGGACCTATGTGACCAAGTCTCATGGTCAGGGTTTTCATATCCTCATGCCAGGTGTTTGTTTGGCCATCCTTGACACTTTTCCAACCGCTACCTGCCTCGGCCAACATCGCTCGCCGTGGCAACCTATGTGGTGACATGCGTAACACATGCCCAAACCAATATAAACTATGGAGNATGGAGGTGGATCACTTACTCCAGTGGACGACCGCGACTGCCTAAAACTATACGCCTAACCTCAGCATTGCTAGTCTGGTTACCCCACCAGACTCGTGCAATGCTGCGTACACAGCGGTGTTCAAACACCGACAATCTATCTTTATCCTCTTCCCGTAGTGGCCAAGTTTTTGCACCGTATAGCAGAACTGGCCGAACTGTCGCGGCATATACTCGACCCTTCACAAGACAGCCGGATGTCGCGACGGCGCCACAGATGTCTCAAGTTGGCAAATGCCAATCGAGCTCAGCCGGATGTCGCGACGGCGCCACAGATGTCTCAAGTTAGCAAATACCAACCGAGCCTTTTGTATACGCGCTGACACTTCATCTGTGATGCGTCCGCCAGGTGAGATGGAGCTGCCCAGATAGCAGAACTTGTCTACTTCCCCAGTCAGAGTGAGACTGGGTGCTGGACCAACCCAATCTTGGAGCAACATTTTACACTTTGAAGGTGCAAAACGCATACCGAACATGGCTACACTAGCACTCACACTATCCAAAAAAGCTTGCAACTTACCTGGGTCTCCACTTAGTAGCACAATGTCGTCTTCATACCCTACATCAGACAGTCCGCCACCTGGAACTAAATCGATAGCGCTATCGTTGAACGAGGATAGAGCTGTTTCAAGAAACAAATCTATCACGAAGTTAAATAGAAACGGAGAGAGAGAGGACAACCCTGTCGAACACCACTTTGTTTGGTGAACTCGGGTGAAAGTGCTGCAAGCTCGGACTCGGACTCGGCTCCGGCTATTAGAATAGAACGATTGGAATATCGAAATAAACTTCTCGGACACCGTTCAGGGAAAGGCAGCGTCAAAGTTTAGAACGGTCGACTGAGTCGAAAGCCGCTTTCAAATCGGGGAAGACAGAGATCGTTGGACTACGAAAAGAATGTCGATATTCGACAATTTGGCGAACAGTGAAGATGTGGTCGATAAAACTTCGACCAGGTCTGAAACCAGCCTGTTTCTCACGCGTACACTGTTCACGTGCGGCAGACAATCGACGCAGTATGATGCCAGCGAGAAGTTTGGAGGCAATGTTGATCAAACTAATTCCTCTGTGGTTTTCACAAGAGGATCTATCACCTTTCTTGCAAATCGGTATGATCACCGATTCATAATATGCGGTTGGAACCTATTGCGTTTCTCATATTGAGCCCAAGAGTTTCGTCAACTCCAAGACTAATGCCGATGGAAACAGTCCACCTGGGCCGGAGGCCTAATGCCGTTTGAGATAAATTACTTCCCGGGAAACCTAAATTTCAGATGGAGGACTGGTGTCAACTGCAGCATTTGCACAGGTAAAGCGGGTAGGCGGAGGTCTTGTGTCGACCGAGGCCAGCTGAACTGAGCTTCAAAGTGCTCAGCCCATCGATCAAGACGGCGTTTCCGATCGTGAATCATTGTGCCATCGGATGCCCTAATTACCTCCCTTACGTCTATTTTCCTGGGGCTCGTGTTCCTAATTAGACGGAAAAGATTGCGACTATTACCAGTAGCCGCAGCTTTCTCCATCTCTTTACACTTTCCTACCCACCACTTCTGGCGATCATTCTTCAGACTCTTGATGAGTTGGCGTTGTGTTATTAGCGGCATCAGGAGGAAGGAAACCGCTAACCTAAGCCCTTACCATCTAACCTGCGAAGATGACGGACGCTAACAACCTTGAAGCTATTTCGAGCTCATTCACCTGTGGTTGGGGCAGTCACTGTGTTGGACACTTTCAAGACAACAATCGCTCCCCTACAAGAAGTGGACCTGCTCAGTGTTCCAAACCTTAGAGGATAGCACCTCTAGTTTCCCAAAACGCTTCAGTCTACCACCTTTGAAGCGAGGAAACCACCGAAGCCCGGAGTTTTGTGACATGCCAGGGTGTAGATCCCCTTGCAGATTTCCGCCGTCTGTGGAGACAGACCACATGACGTGTACCGGAATTGCTGCGGGAGAAGCGGACGCAGATGGCCATCTAAAATGCGAACCAAAGTGCTGCGTCCAGCGTATAAGACATCACTGTTGATTATGAATAAGTGAATCGTCAACTTCACAGATCGTCTCGCTCACATCCAGAGCCTTCCTACCAGTGACCAAGATGAGATGAAACACGTTGTGGGAATTGAGATGGTGGATGTTTGGATTAACCCATTCGGTTTTTCACAGGTACCAGGCATTGTTGATGATGTTCGGCGTGGGTTTCACGCCTTGGGAGATCGTTAATTCCCCACTATTTGAATGCATGTTGTGGGAATTTTCAAAGATGGCAGCATGTTAAACCTCTGAAGCACGTTGTCATCCAGAATGCTCGACTTCCGTGTGGGCTCACGCCGAGTTTATGTTTCGTTCCGAGTCACCTTTCGTTATGCTCACTGCCGACCGGGGTCAATCGGTGTGCGTCAAGAACGCGCGGATTCAGTAGAAAACCAGAGTATCAACACTACAAATCAGTACGCCAGAAGAATGCAGAGCATTCTTGACGAGCAACCAGCGCTGACTGATGTTATTGAGTACGTTCTGTTCTCGCTTTTCAACTAGATCGTTTTGAAGCACGGGTAGATACAGCATTGTTGAGTCGTGCGACTGGAACACCCACCGAAGCCCATAGGCACTTTAGTGCTGACTAATGAGTGTTCCGATTCGAGGGGGTGGGTAGGCACTACATCCGGTAGCCTTCTATACCAGACTGTGTGCCAAACAAATCGTGGTACAATAATCTTTATGAAAAGAAAAACGCTCCACGATTTGCAAGTGAGCCGAATACTTCCAGGTTGCCCAGGCCAAGGCAGAAGAATTTTCTGGGAGGGGGGGGGATCCACAACCGGAGCCTTTGGCTGACCAAAGCCTGACCCACAAGGCAGCTGGGCGGTGTGCGAAAACCGCAATCCATTGGGAGCCGGTGTCCAGTTCATACGCCCTTCGGACGGGGTCAGATGTCCAAGGTACCCACTACACCTCGATACCCAATCGAGCCGGTGTCCATTGCCACAACCGGAAAGGTGGGTGTGGTTCGTACGCCTCCTCTTGGTTGGTTTGGAATCAGGGTTTTTGGCCAACTCCCTTAGGTGAACTGCTANCCAACCCGGTTATAGCCTCGGATATCGGCTTTTCGTCCTCTCACTTTCGTGCAAAAACACCGCCATGAGAAGGCAGTGAGTAGGACTTCCTCAGTAGCGGCTATTTGAGACGCTTGGTCGTACGGGGGAATTTCGCGAGGTGCAAAGGACGGGTGACCAGCCGCAAACCTAGACACCCACCCCTGACCACACTGAGGATTTCGGATGAACATTAGAAGAAGGACCGGAAAG